AGCCTGTGCGCCCATGCTGCGCCACGCTGCACTCCCAGCCCGGCGCGATACACCTTTCTGATCAATCATCCAGGTTGTCTTGGGCTGGAAATTTGTTTCACTCTGTCTTTTTGTGGGTTCTGCTGCTTCAGAATTTGTTTAGAGCCATTTTTTATGAGTATTTGGAGGGGGCTGGAGGAGAGCTCAAGCAAGTCACTGCTTTCACTCTGCCATCTTGGCTCCACCCCCTATACTGTCTCTACCTAGATTCTTTGTAGTTAAAAGAACATTCACACAGGAGAGAGTAAATGAGACATCCATGGGCAAGTCCTTTCTGATTTTCAGTTTCCTCTTCCATAAAATAGAGATAATATTTTCACTATGTATTTCATGGGGCTGGTTCTGAGGAAAAGACTCAGATGTTCTCCAGCTGTTTTTTAGTCGTGTCCAACTCTTTGTGATGCCATTTGGGGTTTTCTTGGCAAAGATATTGGAGTGGTTTGCCATTTCCTTCTCTGGCTCATTTTTGCAGATGAGGAAACTGAGGCAAACAGGGTTAAGTGACTTGCCCAGGGTCACACAGCTGGGAAATGTCTGAGGCTAGATTTGAACACAGGAAGATGAATCTTCCTGACTCCAGGCCCAGTATTCTGTACTATGGCTGCTCCCATTGTGAGGAAAGGACTCGGTGAACCTCAAAGTATTACCCAAATCTGCATTGTTATCATTATTTTACTCATGCAGAATGATGCAGTAGGAAGAACTGAATTAAAAAGTGAAAACTGATGACCTGGACACAGATCCAATCCCCACTAATTACTACTTCCGTGATCTTATTCAAATCATCACCACCTGCACAGCTTTGCATGGTGGCGTGAACTCTCATGTACCACACTTCCACATCCCTTCCAGGATGTCTCTTTACTCTCTCCTGTGTGAAGCCATTCTTTTTTATCCTCAGAGGCTGGAGCTCTCTCACCTCCACAAATGACTCCATACATACTTAGGTACTTGTATAACAGGGGTGTGCTGCATGTGCAGAATGCCTGGGACAGCGTGTCCATAAATGGGGAAACTGAGGCTCCTCCCTCTGGGGAGGGTCACGACGATGGGGCATGAAAGCACTCTGAGGTGAGGTTGTGGGAGCGTGTGCAGATGCTCTGTAACCTGCTCTAGTGTGCTGACCATGCAGTTTGGAGGAGGCTTGTTCAGATGGCTGTGTATTTAGAAGCTGTTGTTGGTAAGTTATCTCAGTTGTATCCAAACTCTTCGTGGCCACATTTGGGGTTTTCTTGGCAAAGATACTGGAGTGATCTGCCATTTCCTTCTCTAGATCATTTCAAAGATGAGGAACTAAGGTAAGTGACTTGCCCAGGGTCACACAGCTAGTCTGAGGCTTGATCTGAACCCAGGCCTTCCTGATTGCAGGGCCTGCACTCTGACCACTGCTCCACCTTGCTACAACTAGGGAACATCTTTAAAAGGCTTCAGTCAGCCTCAGCCTAAGTGTTTTTTTGGGCCTTCCTAGCTTTGGCTGCGCTGCCGTGATACGACTCTGCTTACAGTGTTGAATAAGAGACACCGCTGTAAGGGGAAAGTCCTTGGTGCCTTCTGCCCTCTGAGGCCATGCCTGTGAAAGAGCCTTAGCCTCTGCATTATTTCACATCTGTTCCAGGTGAAAGAGGTGGAACCTCCAATCTTGTGAATTTTGAAAGATCAGGATGGGTCCTAGGGTTTGGATTGGCCAGTCCGGGCAGTATCTCTACCCCCTGGAGCAGGGAGTGACCTGACAGTGTGACCTTTGGCACCCCACTCCCATGGTAGGTGAGAGGAAGATTCATCTGGTGCTGACGCCATGTTCGGACCTGAACTTGGTGCAACAATGCTATATGGGAACTGAGCTATGTTGAGTCTATTTCCCCAAAGACCAAGGAAGTGGAGAGAAGAGTATGCCCCCAAGATATCTGGGGGAAATGTTTGTATGATTGCTTTTGCTATACCTTTGAAGCAGATACGCTTTTGTAAAAGCTAATTGATATTATGTGATTAGAAGGAACCGAGGCACTAGTTACTGACACCTATCAGATGAGGAAATAGGGCTGGCGTGAGCGTAAGCAAGAAACACCCAAACTCCTCGTGGTATCCTATAATCGTAAGGGGCAAACATAGCCTGCCTGGCTCTGCGTAAGTGGGACACAGCACTCTTGCTGTATTTATATGTTGCAATCACTCCTATTCTCTAAAGGACACAATCCTTCCCTTTAGGGATTATTTTTCATTTTGTTGTTGAATTTCCAACAGTTAGTACAGTGCCTTGCACAGGAGAAGCATTTAATAAATGTCTGTTGGATTTAATATGACTTCTCTTGGTCTATTTCCTTACCTATAAAATGAAGAGTAGCACCAGACGTCTTGTGAGGTCCCACCCAGATCTAAACCTGTGATCCCATGATCTTAATGGACACTAGCACCTAGGAATCTGCCCTCTGCACTGCTGGTTCACACCTGGAAAGACCTGAAATCTGATTAGGATCCCTTCATGTGTCTATGATGAACTGACCTCTACTTATATCATCAACATGAGAGATGGTAAGAAAATGCCTATTCTTAAGAGCTTTTAAGAGATAGGAAAAATTGACTAAAAGTGAGATTAGATTAAACTGAATTGCTGAAGGTAAACCACAGAAGGCTTTGGCCAAAGGTAAAGGGATGCCATTTTGTTCCAGTTTTGAAAACTCAGAGACATTATTTACCTGCGAGAGTACAGTCACTAGTGAAGCTGGCTCCTAAGTTAGACACAGGAAATATCAAGAGCACAATTCACACCAGCCTAAATATATACTCTCGTAAAATGATGGCTTATCACAGGGACAATCACACTGTGTGACAGAACAAGAAACATCAGACTCTCAGGAGTCAGAAGACTTGGGTTCAAAACCCAGCTCTGCCAATTTTTAGCCACGGGGATTTGAGCAGATCACTACCTTATTTGCACTGGCTGCCTTGGAGAGTTGCAAATAAAGTGCTCCATAAACCAAAAAAACCTCCATAAATGTGATTTGCAAGAGAAGGCTGGCGTTGGAGAGGTGGGCTTTTACAGCAACAAGCACTTTGAATCAATCGATCAACCCAAAAATGCTGCCCCATTTTCCAAATGTAACCCAACTTGATCTCCTTCCTCTCTTCAAATCTGGACCCAGCCCGCTATCCAACACGGATTGTCTCTAACCAAGACATACATTTTGGAATAGCTCAATCCCGTAAGCATTTGTTAAATATCTCTTACGTCCCTGCCTCAAGTCTCTCCCCACTCCAGTCCATTCTCCACTCAACTATCAAAGTGAGTCTCCAAAGTGCAGGGGTAACTTGCCCTGTGAGTACTGATGCCCTAAGCACTTTACATTTTCAGCTGCTGTTTTGCATCCTTCATTTTCAAAGAGGACCAATGACACCATGGGGTGACATCTTGACTTGTGCATGAATCGAATTTAAGTGAGGAAGAGCTGCATGAAGTCGTCGGTCTCATTCTTTCTTCCAGAGTCATTAAATATTTTCTTTAATGCTAATAACAACGTAGACAGCATATATTTGCACACATGCAAATACACACGTATTTTTATATACGCAAACTTTTACTATAATTCCCTAGAATTTGAGGGAATTGTGGTGGTTTAGTTCCTTGTAGATTTGTTTACATGAATAACATTACACTAAACGTAAAAATTTATTTTACCCGTTTTATGTTTTATGTAGCCTAGGACCCGGGGAAAAGCCGGTCCTGCAAGCGTTGTCTGCTTTAAGTACAAAAGATAACCTATTGTGACTGAAGCAGCGAGCAATTACATGTGTGAAAATAATTTTTTAAAAACTCTATCTGTAGGAATATTATTGGGGGCAAATAAGAGATGCAAGAATGAGAAAATCTGCGAGCAGAGAAAACACTTTCAGTGTGAGGAGTTGGAGGAGAGGTGGTTAGGGAAGCCTTCACCACCAGGCATGAAGAGGGTGAATTCCAGGGCTAGAGAATAAATGCACTGGTGGAAAACAGCAACGTGGGACTGGGGAGCAGTTGGCGATCCAGTCTGGCTGCATGGTGGAGCTTGTAAAAGAATAACGTGGAATAGGGCTGGAAAGAAAGGGTGAAGTCAGACTGTGCAATGCTTGAAATGCCTGGAATAAGATGTTTGCCTTGTATCATGCATGTAGGCAAAAAAAGAGCCTTGGATTACTTCTGAGCAGGGAGCCACACATACCTGTGCTGTGGGAATGTTATTTTGGCCACTGTAGGGGTTGGAGAAAGGAAAGACAGGAGGCAGGTAGAGCAACTAAGGGGCTACTGTTTTATGTTCTTCTGCTGGTGCTCAACCGTTCAGAAAGGCACAATGACATTTACAGGCATTCCCTTCATAAAAACAAGTATCATAACTAATATGGAAATATGTTTTACATGACTACACATGTATAACCTATATCAAATTGCCTGCCATTCTCAATGAGGGGGGACAGGAAGGGAAAGAATTTAGAACTTAAAAATTTAAAAACAAATGTTAAATGCAGGACAATATCAGTTCTTTCTCTGGAAGTGAATATTTTTTTTTGTTTTTGTTTTTGGGGGGGCAGCATGGCTACTAGGAAATATGTTTTCCATGATTGCACATGTATAATTGATATGTTGCCTTCCTTCTCAATGGATGGAGGAGGGACTGGAGGGAGATTTTTTTTTTACCAAAAAAAGGGGGGGGGGAAAATAAATGAATGAATGAATGAATGAATGAAACACCTAAACCTTTAGACAAACTGTTGTCCAACTCACATCTCCTATCTGTAGAGTGAAAACTCCTACACTGTTCCTAAGGGTACAGAAATTCCAAGTTCTAAACAAGTAACATAAACAGGCCTTTGGAAGATACTATTTTTTTTAAAGACACCCACATTTTAAGGTGGGAACCTCCTTGACTTCGAAGCAGATTAGACAGAACTCTATCCAAACCCTTCAGAAATGAAGCCACTGTCACCGGTACCTGTTTCTCAGCTTGTTTCAGGAGCTTCTGAAACCGCTCATCCTCCAGCACGGCGGCGGAAAGAGCCAGCTCTCCCTGGGTTTTCATGTTCTCCAGCCTCTGCCGCAAGTCTCTCAGGGCTTGGAGTTCATCATTCAAGCGGCTCTGCCGGGTCAAAGAGGCCTGAAGGTCCAGCTCTAAGTCAAGAGATGTGCGCGGGGGGTGTTCTTGTGCCGATCTTCTACAGACTGGCGGGCAGACGGTCTGGGTGGTAATAAAGGGAGACACAAACCATGAGCTGGCAAATGGTGTAACCTACAGAAAATGGCATTTTTTTTTCTCAATAGGAAACACAAGATACAAACACTCCCCCAACCCCCTCTGCAGGACAAGTGCTATCAGATCATGCAGCCATCCATTTGGCTTTGAGAAATTCATTCAATAAGCATTTATTAAGCACCTACGATGTGCTGGGCATTGTGCTAAGTGCTGGGGGTACAAAGAAAGGCAAGAGATGGTCCATGCCCTTGAGGAATTCACAATCCAATGGTAATGCCAATGAAGGTGAACTTAGACCCAAAGTGGTTTTCCAAATCTTAGGCAGGTCAAGGAAACTCTTAGCCCCCTCCCAGATGAGCTTTAACTCTACTTTGCATGCTACCATTTCCCCCATCAAGTTCCTTTAGCCTTGCTTACAAGTTATACATAATCCAGGTCTTTTTATGGGTCCAAGCCTACCCATCACACCACCATCCAGGCAACTAGCCCAATTTCTCCTGTATAGATCTTATTGGTACACAGACATTTGCATATTGTTGTCCCCTCTCCCCGACATCAGAATGTGAGCAGGGATTTTTTACTACAATTATCTCTTCCACACTGCAACTTTCTACATCACAGTTTTGATATATTGCAGGTTAGCACAAGAAATTAAATGGGAAGTTTGGGGGAGTTTTGTGGACGCTGCAGACAACATGCAAAGGCCAGCAGAAAAAGTATTTTTACTTAACATTGATCTACATTTAGCCTATGACCAAATACTTAACCCAAATTTTATAATATTCTGTAAACATTCTGCAAAAGAAAAAGAAAAAATTCAGACTTCTTGCCTGATAAAAGGGAGGTTCAAAAAATCTTACGCAGATTTTCCAGATCACAAGGGCACTGTGTCCCTAACATCTATGATGTGGAAAAGATAACCGTAATTTTTTTTGACTTTTCTGTATATCTCCAACTCTTAGAACCTACATGGAACTTAATAAATTCATTTTATAAATGCTTGTAGATTAACATTAAAAAAAACCCCCACATCTAATTATGCATCTAGCTCTGTTCTTCTGGAGGTTAACAAGAGTAAAGGCATGGTCTCAATCCTTAAGGAGTCATGACTAACAAATGTGAACCAGAAAATAATATGACCGACCATAGAATTACTACATTGTGTTGCCTACTAATGCATGAATGTGCATAGATGAGGGTGACAGCAGTGGAAATAGAGAGGAAGAGGTCATCGTAGAGAAATTTTAAGGAAAAAAATGGATAGGATTTACAAATACTGAAAAGAGGAGAGGATGGAGCAGGAAGGAAGGCTTGCATGACTATAAAGAGAGAGATCATTGAGGGAAGGGATCATGACAACTCTTCTGTCCTTATTTTGTAGCCCTGGATTGGGCTGCGTTTAACCCCATCATTACCACGACCAACTGAACACCTACTACGTGTTAGATACAGTAGGTATACTGTAAGCACCTATATTGGCTTTCCTTCTGTCCTCTCCTGCTCCTGAAATATGTGATATATGCAAGAACCACCCTCCACAAGCTTCGTTTTGAACCCATCACACACACCCTCACACACATACACACACCATTTTCACCATCAAATAGCTTCCACTTGTTTTTTTGCACGGAAAAAGTGGCTGGGCTTCAAATCCCTGCACACTCAGGTTTGGAGAAACAAGACTTAATGTGGCATGCTCACTCATTTGATGATGCTTTTGATAAACCTTCATGGATATTCTGGATTTTTTCTATGGATAAATCATTGCTCTTTCTATATATCCCTCATTCAGCATACCCTTTTCTGTTGATTTTTACCAGTCTATTCCTATCACATGAAAACCTGGATTAAAATGAACCTTCTACAAAAAAAGTGTTTCAAGAATAACTAGCTATAGTAATGCAAGTCACTAACATCCTAGCAAACCCACTGTGGCTCAGCTGCTACCCTCAGTTCAGAAGTTCTTCTGTGCTTTTGTCCATCTCTTCCTGAATTTTTTCAGTCACGTCCAAGTCTTCATAACTCCATTTGGAGTTTTCTTAGCCAAAATTCTGGAGTGGTTTGCCATTTCCTTTTCCAGCTCATTCAACAGATGAGGAAACTGAGGCAAACAGGATTAAGTGATTTGCCCAGAGTCACACAGCTAGGAAGTGTCTGAGGCCAGATCTGAACTCAGGAAGACAAGTTTTCCTGACTCCAAACCCAACACTCTCTCCACTGCGCCACCTGGCTTCCCTCTCTACTCCTGAATACTATGGACATGTAATACTTGGACTTAAGGTGTGAATCAATAAAAAGTCTGAATTACGTTATGGCACTACGTCATTCATCAATTCAACCCCTGAACTTTTAAATTATTAAAACAAAAAAAAAAGACCTTGGAGCAGCTGAAATATGTATCAAAAACCCCACGTACCTTGGACAACAAACCCTATAAAAGCAGATCATGTCTTTTGACCTGCTGGTCTCAGTACCATGATTATAGCCTAAGAATGTTAACAAAAGGGGGAAAAGTCCTAGCTGTACAAAAGTATTCAGAGATTAGTAATTAAATTGATTAATTAAAAATTAAGAATATAAAATAAAATAAAAAATGAAAACAGAGAATAGTAAATTAGTAATTCAATTAATTAGTAATTAGTAACAAAAAATTAGTCATTAATTAGTAATCAGTAGCAAAAAAAGAAAAAAGGGAAAGACTGAGGTGCTAGGATTTAGGAATGGCAGAACAAACTGTTTCAATCAATGTATCGGAATATGATTTTTGTAATTGAAATAACAAGACAAAGGAAGTGAAACAAAGTAAAGAAAACCAAATTAGAACATTCACATTAACTAGGATTACACAAAACAAACAACGAAATATCATAGGTATAGAGACAGCAGAAAGATTGGAGATATAGCAAATAAGTTGTTATTTTGCTAAAGTTTTTATTCTCATTAAACACACAATTCTAACATGCCTGTCTACAGGGCTCTCAGATCCACTGGTGATTAAAAACAGGGAGTCACAAGGGGCTGAGTGGCTATTGTGGGGTGACATGCTGATAGTGATGACTCACAGGGAGGGTAGAGACAGAAAAACTACAACAAGCAGATCTAAGGACTAAGAGCACAACAGCCAAGGGGCTATTTAGTGTAAATGGCAGACAGGCCTTCTAACACAATTACCCAAGGAATATAATGTATTATTCACCAATACAATAATTGTTGTTTACAGTGATGACCCCGAGGCACCATGAAAAGATCAAATCAATTGATCCAAATTGATCATAAATCAATAAATTTCATTAAATAAAGCAGGAGGATACAGAAATGTATACATTTTGAAGTCAACTATGCACCATAGATGAAGAACAGAAAAGTTAACGTTGACACAGTTAGAAGCAGAGCTAAAACTGGACCAAAATGGTTAAACTAAAACTTCTGGAGCTTGAAGTCATAATTTTCAGTTATTTGGAAATTTTACTTGTTTGGAACATACTTCATTCCCTGATATTGTTCCAAAGAGTTTCTTTGGAGGGAAGAGGAGATGAAGTTTTATTTTTCAAGTTTGATTAAGATTGGAACTGGACCCCAAAATGTGTTGTCCAGTAGAGGCCTTACATGTAACAGGGATAGAGACAGCAATTAAGCCCATGATTGTTGGTCGAGGGAACTCCTAAACAAAGAAAATGAGTGATGAGTTATTCCTGGATCTCAGGCACAACGCAGTGTAGAGACCATATCCAGGGCAAAGTCTGATCTTCACCTCCTGGTCTGACTTCTGCAAGTTCCTGATCTGGGTTTGGGTCTGAACAACTCCACAAGCTGGCACTGTCTCTTCAACTTACAGTCTTAGATAGCAGCCTAAAAGGGGGCAGCTAGGTGGTGCAGTGGATAGAGCACCGGCCCTGGAGTCAGGAAGACCTGAGTTCAAATCTGGCCTCAGACACATAACACTTACTAGCTATGTGACCCTGGGCAGGTCACTTAACCCCACTGCCTAGCCAAAAAAAAAAAAAGAGAAAGCAGCCTACTGAGCTGGGAAGTAAAGCCACATGTTCAAAGTCACATACAACTACTAAGATTGGGGTTCAACTTCCCCAGTGGTAGGCTTTTGATAGTTCAAGCAATATTTCTTGCTGATGATGATAATGAATAGATAATAGTTTGCAATGAATAAGATGCAGGTGCTTTTATTTAAAGAAAATTTTATTGATGCCTTATCTTTCTATCATAGTTCTTCCCAAATATATCACTTGCAAAGCCAAGATGGCAGAACAGCAAAAAATATACAGATGAGCTCTCCTCTACAAAGACATAAAAAAGGCAGCAGATCAAACTTCAATCAGTAAATCCAAGAAAAAAAATCATAGTGAATTATTTTGCTAAGCTAGGTTGGCATAGGGAGACAAAGAGGTCCGTGAAAAGTGGGGATGGGGTCTAGCCAGAATTGCTAGTGGGGGAGGGCATACTAACACAGGGCCCAAGGTTATATACAGGGGCAAGAAGAAGTCCCAGACCTAAAAGTGAGGGGCCTAACTGTGCAAGATGTAGAAAAAGGTGCCAATTGGCAGCTCTGTCACTCACTACCTAGTTCCAGATCAAAGGTCCAGTGAGAGCCTAAACAGGGGACCTGAGCTCAGGAACTTAGCATTCCAAAGTGAGGAGCAGTCCTGGGCTCGAGGCTGTATACTGACCAAGTAGCAAGCTTGGAAACAAGCAGCAACTGTGTGGCTCTGGAGTGGAGTGGGGTCTCAGGTCCAGCCATCATCCTAATAAGAAGCATACACCAGAACACCCCAAGCAGGAATCCAAGACTAAAGGGGAGCCTGAAGCTGTAGCACTTTTCAGCTGGCTCAAAGAAGCTGAGTTCAGCAGCAGACTACTTCAACTCCAACTAGGGATAAGCCCACAGGTATATTGATCAGACCCAAACCCAGATCAGGAACTTGCAGAAGTCGGACCAGAAGGTGAAGATCAGACTCTGCCCTGGATTAGATCTGCACTGTGCCTGAGATCCTGGAATAACACAACACTCAAAACCCCTAAAAAAGTAGGAAGGGGACCCAAAAGGACATAAACTTAGCTCAGACATTTCCTTCAGAAGTGCACAATGCTTAAAATAAGAGGTGGATTAGATAATACGTTTTTTAGAGGAAAACATTAATATCTAATTTAATCTTAATACCAAAACTACCAGATTGAAAAGTCTGACTGTTATTCTGTAGCCAGTCTCAACAAGTGAAGAGAGTTTTTCATGGATATGAGGTGGAGGGGAGAGTGGAATATCCATATGGCTTCATGACACTGACTAATGGACTTTGCTGACCTAGTTTTTGGAAAGCAAAGGGTTACATTTACCTGGTTCATCCTTAATGGCAAATATTTGGATGATTTTAGCCTACAACCAGAGAGATTTCAGTTTTCTAAATTCGAAGTTTAGTAGAAGACAGCTAACAATAGACTAGTTCTATAAACTGTTAAATGTCGTAGGAAACTTTTTTTGGGGGGGAACAATGTTTTTCTTTTCTAAGAATGCAATGCACTAAAACTATTTTAAGAAGGTAGTTAATACTGCTTATTCATAAAACAGCATATACCTGTGTTTTAGATGTAAGATCCAAGCTCTGGCTTTTCTCTCACACTTTTCTCTTTCTTTCTTTTTTTTTAAGACAGTCAGTTTTATTTTTATGACTGTGTTCTTGACATTTGTAATAAATATCTTAAGAGTAAAAAAAAAAGGTACACAATGCCTGGTCCTAATATAAAGTACAAAGTAAGGAAGTAGGATAAAAAAAATGAACAAACAAAAAGAGAATCTCATGATAAAGAGACTGGCCCTAATATGAAGTACAAAGTAATGAAACAAGATTTAAAAAATGAACAAACAAAAAGAGAATCTCATCATAAAGAGACTTGCCCTAATATGAAGTACAAAGTAACGAAACAAGATTAAAAAAATGAACAAACAAAAAGAGAATCTTATCATAAAGAGCTATTACAGAAAAAAGGACACTCTGAAGACATAAACCTAGAGCAGGTAAATGATTCCAAAAAACCTACAAGCAAAGCTTCAAAGAAAAACACAGTTTGGGCACAAGTTTAATTAGAATTCCTAGAAAAGATGGAGTAAGAGAAGAACTCCTTAAAAAGCATAATTGGCAAAATGGAAAAGGAGGTACAAAAATTCAGTGAGGAGGAGAACGCCTTAAAAAGCAGAATTGCCCAAATGGAAAAAGGTACAAAATCTCACTGAAGAAAATAAAATCTTCCTTAAAAATCAGAATTGGGCAAGTGGAAGCTAATGACTCCATGAGACATCAAGAAACAATAAAACACAGGTCAAAAGCATGGGGGAAAAGAATAGAAGAAAATGGGAAATATCAGAAAAACAACTGACATGAAAAATAGATTGAGGAGAAATCATTTAGGAATTATTAGACTGCCTGAAAGCCATAATCAAACAAAAAGCCTAGACATTATATTTCAAGAAATTATCAAGGAAAATTGCCCTAATATCTTAGATCCAGAGGGTAAAACAGAAATTGAAAGAATCCACTGATCACCTCCTGAAAGAGATTCCAAAATGAAAACTCCCAGGAATATTATAGCCAAATTCAGAGCTCTGAGGTAAAAAACAAAAATACTTCAAGCAGCCATAAAAAAATAATTCAAATATTGTGGAGCCTCAGTCAGTATCACTCAAGATTTAGCGGCTTCCATGTTAAAGGAGTGGAGGGTTTGGAATACAATATTCCAGAAGGTAAAAGAGCTAGGATTCAAACCAAGAATAACCTTCCCAGCAAAACTGAGCATAATCCTTCCAGAGAGAAAATAAACATTTAATTAAATAGAGGACTTTTAAGCATTTCTGATGAAAACAGCAGAGCTGATTAGAAAATCTGACATTCAAACAGAAGACTCAAGAAAAGCATAAAAAGGTAGGAAACATGAAAGGGACTCAATAGAGTTAAACTGTTAACATTCCTGTCTGGGAAGATAATACATGGAACTCCTAAGAACTTTATATCACTAGGGCAGTTAAAAGGGAGTTTACATAAACAGAGGGTACGGGTGTTGAATTGATTATGTTGAAATTATCTGGGGCAGCTAGGTGGCGCAGTGAATAGAGCTCCAGCCTTGGAGTCATGAGGACCTGGGTTCAAATCCAGCCTCAGACACTTGACATGTATATTACTAGCTGTGTGACCATGGGCAAGTCACTTAACCCCAACTGCCACATCGAAAAGAAAAAAAAAAGAGAGAGAGAGAAAGGGAAGGAGGGAGGGAGGGAGAGAAAAAGAGAGAGAGAGAGAGAGAGAGAGAGAGAGAGAGAGAGAGAGAGAGAGAGAGAGAGAGAGAGAGAGAGAGAGAAGAAAATGGTATGTAGGAAAATACAGTTAGTAATCATAACTGTGAATGTGAATGGGATGAGTTCACCCATAAAACAGAAGTGGATAGCAGAATGGATTAGAAACCAGAATCCAACAACATGTTGCTTAAAACAGCCACACACCAAACAGAAAGACACACAACAGAGTTAAAATAAAGGAGTAGGGCTAAATCTAATATGCTTCAGCTTAAGTAAAAAAAGGCAGGGGTAGCAATCATGATATCAGACAAAGCAAAAGAAAAATAGTCTTATTAAAAGAGATAATCAGAGAAAAATCTACATTTTTAAAAAAATTTTAGGCAACTGGGGTTAAGTGACTTGTCACACAGCTACTTAAGTGTCAAGTGTTTGGTCTGAGTCTGGATTTGAACTCAGGTCCCTCCTGACTTCAGGGCCAGCGCTCTACCCACTGAGCCACCTAGCTGCCCCAGAAATCTACATTTTGCTAAAAAGTAGACATAGACGATGAAGTAATGTCAAAAATTTTTTAAAGTTTCTCTGTTAAAGGCCTCACTTCTCAAATACGTACTAAGTATAGAACCGAGTCAAATTTATAAAACTAAAAGCCATTCCTTAATTGATAAATGCTTCAAAAAGCAAAAAAAGTCTTCAAAAGAAGAAATCAAAGCTATCTATAGTCATAGGAAAAAATGTTCTATATCACTATTGATTAGAGAAAGGCCAATTAAAACAACTCTAAGGTACCACTTCACACCTATCAGAAATGACAAATGCTGGAGGGAATGAGGGAAAAATAAGTACACTAATGAACTGCTGGTAGTGCAATGAACTTGTCCAACCATTCTGCAGAACGATTTACAACTATGCCCAAAGGGCGATAAAACGGTGCATATCCTTTGATCTAGCAATACCATTGCTAGATATGTATCCCAAAGAGATCAAAGAACATGGGAAAAGACCTATATGTACCAAAATATTTATAGCAGTTCTTTTTATGGTGGCAAAGAACTGGAAATCAAGGTGATGCTCATCACCTGGAGAATGGCTGCACAAGTTGTGGCATACAATTGTGATGGAATACTACTGTACTATAAGAAATGACAAAGGGGGATTGTTCCGGGGGGAAAAAATGGCAAAACCTATATGAACTAATGCAAAATGAAGTGAAAAGAACTGGAGAATCATTCTGCACAGCAACAGCAACCTTATAATGATGATCAACTGTGAAAAACTTGGCTATTCTGATCAATACAATGATCCAAGTCAATTCCAAAGGACTCATGATGAAAAAAACGCTATCCACCTCCAGAGAGAGAGCTGATGAACTCTGAGTGCAAAATGAAGTACAATTTTCTCACTTCATTCTTCTTGCTTTTTAAAAAAGATATGGCTAATATGGAAATGTTTTACATGGTTTCACATGTGTAATTGATATCATATTGCTTGCATCTCAGTGGCTGGTGGAGGGGATGGGAGGTGGGGAGAGAATTTGGAACTCAAAATTTAAATGGAAAAGAATGCTCAAAATAAATAAATAATGAATTGGAATGTTTTGTGTGTTTTTTTTTAAGTCAACATACTACTTGTCCCCATGTTCTTTTACAACATAGATAAAACAATTAACATGGTTATTTCTCACACAGGAAGGTTCTATGGGGACTAGGGGGTAAAGAATCATTGAAAATAACAGTGAAGAACAAAAGAGAATTTTTTTTAATTTTAAGAAAAGGAAAACAGTTGAGCAAAATAAGTAAGCATAATAATTACATCTAGCAGCAGATGCAACATCTTGCATCCCTAATCCCCCTGCCTTTTTCCTAGGAGAAGAGAAGTGTTTCATAATCTATTCGCTATGACCAAGGCTGGTCATTGCAATTAATGAGGGTTCAGCTACCTTTCAGTTTGTTTTATTGCTGTCTTTTTTCACATTGTTTTCCTGATTTTACTTGCTATATTCTGCATTAGTTCATACATGTCTTCTTACGCTTCTCCAAATACAAGCCTGTCATTTCTTATGGCATAATATAGAATACATTTAATATCACAATTTGATCAGCCATTCCCCAATTGATAGGCAACCTCATTGCTTCCAACTTTTTGCTCTAAACGGTTGCTTTTAAGGTATTTAAAAATGTACTGTTTAGTACTTGACTATGTCTTGACTTTTTAATCTTCTGTTGTTTGTTAGACTTCAGTCTTGTTTCCCCAAATTATAAACAGTAAGTCCCTAGAAGGCAGGTGCTGGATTTTAGTCTCCCCTGGTAATCCCCTTCATCCCTGGCACACCGCTAGGTGCAGAGCAGGCCTTCAACATATATAGTTCACACATCAGATTGTTTCTGCATAGATGGTATGGATATAAATTTTAGCTGAGGCTTAGACTCAATAGCCATAAATTCCAAACCACTGGAAATGAAATTAACATGCTTACTTGTATACACCACCATAGACATTTCTAACACCAACGTGACACTTAAGAGTTCTGGATAACCCTGGGGTGCTTATTACAGCTGCCTAAGAGGACGGCAGCATTACACCTTCCACATCTGTCATTGATCATGAACTAATTCTGACCTGCCTGAAAGGGAAGGGGCAGGGGAGGGGGTGGACACAAAGTGATACCTACCCTCTTGACCCGCAAGCTACGGCGTTCTGTTGCATTTCTCACAAAGAGGGATTTTCTAGCCAACGTGGAACTGTCACTGTCACTTCGGTTTAACTGTTAAAGACACAATATAGAGAGGAAAAATATAACTGTACAGTCCAGTTTCACATACATGCGTGTGCACACACATATAGAATCAAATGTAGTTCATGTGCTCCAAATTGTTCTCATCTGTCCATCCAATGAGGGAAGTCTTCTCATTCTTGGGGTGGACATTCCCCTAATTCACCAACAGATTGAGACCTGTCAGTTACTTCCATCCTGGTTTAGCCATCTGCCAAGATGGTTTTACCAGAGTGTGGCTGTTGCACATGCTACAGCTTCTTGGAGCCACAGGTGAGAGGTGAGTACCAGGTAGACACCAAAGGCGGATGAGCAGCCCTGGAAAGGGCTTGGCAAGTTCACACACAGAGGTGTTAGTTTTCCCTGAGCACCAACCCCCAAATGCATCACTGCAAGAAAGAACTAAGTCCAGAAGAGGTAAAGTTTAGTATTACTATCAAGGGGCTCTTTTCATCTTTAGCCTTGAGCAGAATTTTTACTTCAGCAGGACTAATAGGGCCTGAAATATCCTTCATAGCACAGGCCAATATATACTTGCTACATGTTAACAGAAATATATATCCTGTACCTCACTGAGCGGCAGCATGGCAGAGTAGACTGCACATAGGGCTTGGGGTAAGAAATACCCTTATTAGCTTTAGAACCTTATTAGCTGCATGACCCTGGATAAGTCACTTAATTTTCATGTACCTGTTTTTTCATGTATAATAAACAAAATATATAATGTTATATTATATAACATTATATATTTTATATAACATGTAAATATGTAATGTTTATATATAATATGCATGTTTGTGTTATTAAATATATTTTATATAAAATATTTTATATTATATAAAATACATATTAAATTTATACACACATACATTTGAAGTAGATGGTTATGCCTATGGCCTCCAAGGTCCTTTTTTTTTTTCTGGCTAGGCAATGAGGTTAAGTGACTTGCCCAGGGTCACACAGCTAGTAAGTGTTATGTGTCTGAGGCCGGATTTGAACTCAGGTCTTCCTGAATCCAGGGCCAGTGCTCTATCCACTGTGCCACCTAGCTGCCCCCAAGGTCCCTTTTAGCTCTGATGTATGAGCCTATAAATTTATAAATACTAATCCAAATCTCAATAGTTTATCCATTCAACCCACAAAACGTTCTTATTAAATAAGTGCCTACCAAATCACTGATAGTAGGAAGCAACAATTAATCTCTAAGATGTCTACTTAAAAAAAAAAACAAGCAGAAACAGTAAAGTCATTTAAGTATTTTTGGAGAAAAAAAACCACATTTCCAGGTACTGCTTACATCCCAAATCTGGGATTTCTCAGTGGATGATATTTTATTCTTTATGGCTACTCACTGAAATGACAGTTAGTAACAAGTGATTACCCTTGCTTTTCACCTTACCCTACAGATGTAGTGGTTCCGCTCTCCTGGAGAAAAGGTTTGGGAGCGCACAATCATGCTGCTTCTAACAAAGGGATGCTGCCGAGAGCTCAGGCTGGAACGATCCTTAGGTCGGACGGCCACATTTTCATGAAATGCTTCCTCGGTGTTGGTCTCTTTATCAACCTGATGGGGAAAGGAACAATGTCTTATTTGTCTTAAATATGGAATTCAAATATGAAGTGTCTTGTATATCAGAAATAATACATTTTGGGAAAGGTCTCTCTCGCTCCATTTACATGTACACATATATAAAGACGGTTTTCACATACACAAATGAGGAGAAAAAATACTGAATTCAAATATGAAATATCTTGCACATCAGAAATATCAAATCATCAAGTTGCTATAGGTTTCTCTTTCTCTCCATTTGTACATACACACATGCAAAGATGGTTTTCACACACACAAAGGAGGAGAAAAAACATGTACCAAACCAAACAAACACAAAGATTACTCTATCTTTATGTTACAGGCCAGGATGCCTGCTAGTGGGATCAAGAAGTTGTTGTTTTTTTTTTTTAAAATAACACTTGTTAAAAAATAATAAGGGAAATACAGCAAAGTCGATAAAAAGCAAGCCTTAGAATTAGGAGGACTTGGGTTCAAATTCTGTTTTTGACAAATACTAACTGTGTGACTCTGGTGAAGTCACTTAAATTTTCAGTGTCCCAGGCAGCTCCTGAAGAATAGGAGAGGCAGAAGGGCAGTATATTTAAATCGTTAGAGTTTCCTCCCTGGGACCTCCATACTTTGATGAAGTCAACAGGTCAGGACAAAAATGAGGATAGATAGAATAACAGTTTTTGAGAAAACCACTGAAGCAATAAACAAACAAATAAATGAACGAATGAATAAATAAATTACATACACACACATAAATACCTATCTGTCTATCTATCTATATCTAAAATTGCAACTGCTTCAAACACTTTACAGTCTGAAAAAAAAAAGTAAATTTTTAGTAGGTAAACTGTATGCTTTAAAAGGCCTTTCAGAAAAGAGTTTTTCAATTAAAGCTTTAATGTCATTTTTTTTGGGGGGGGGAATAGCCACCAAAAGAATTAAAACTAATATAATGCTCAGCAGAAAATAAATGTTAAAATGTTTTGATTAAACATGGAAAATAAAATCAAAGCTCTTTGACAATTTAATTTTTCCTTGGACTTTATGGAAAGGAAAGTCAAATTCAAACAAAGACCATCAGAAAATGAAAGCAAAGCCTGGATGTTCAGATTACCTCCCCCTTTCAGGATGTGGCTCTCACTATCACTTTCATTCTGCCTATTACACTATTGCTGAGCCTACACTGATCCATTAGCTAATCAAGGAATCAATAATAAACTTTCAATAGGAAAGTCAACTCCCTCTGTGGGTTTCAAATGTTCATTCCCTGTTTAGACCTTAAATCACTGTCACATTGCTTCTATAAGTGTGTGCTCCACAGAATTTAAGAAAAATATATAATACATATTCATGGGAACTTTTATAAATGTATTTATAAAAAATGAGTAGCCCTATTTCTTTTAATTACTCCTAGACTTACCTTTCATATATCAAACACTATCTGAGAATTAGTCTTTTGAATCAATTTATAAATTTTCAAGCCCATACAAAACATCTTACACTATACTCATACATCATCAATGCATTTCATGATTAGATTTTGACTCATGAACACAGAATATAATTACTCCTAAAGAGACAACCCATGTTTGGGGTTTTTGTTTGGTTTTTAGATCACATGCTTTAGAAACACATCCTAAAATACTCACCAGGCTGGGCATGGCAGTAGGGAGCTGACTCTGAGGGTCTTTGGTATGGCTGGTTTCTTTCCCACTCTCGTCCTCACTCGACTTAGACACAGTTGTGCATGGTCCAGACTCTTCTGTTAAGTCATTCCCCTCTGACAGGTTAGCTTCTGCTTCTTCCTTGGCCAGGAGCTCATTGGAGGTCTCTGCTAACATTTCTAACCTACGAGAGGAGAGAGAAAAAGAGTCTGTCCTGAACTAACAACTTCTCTGAAGAAAATCACAGTGCCCAGTTATCACCTGGGTAATGAGCAACAAGGCCAGCAACACGGCTTACAGGCTACCTGCAAGACTCATTTCTAATTTTTCAAGAAAACTAAAACAAAACAAAAAAACAAAAAAAAGAGAAAAAATTAAAAAAAGAAAAAAAAAGAAAACTAAAACAGTGGCAGCTAGGTGGCACAGTGGATAGAGCACCGGCCCCGGAGTCAGGAGGTCCTGAGCTCAAATCCAGCCTCAGACACATAACACTCACTAGCTATGTGACTGTGGGCAAGTCACTTAACCCCAATTGCCTCACCCAAAAAAAAGAAAAAGAAAAAGGCTCTAAATATCTTTGTTCTATGTTATGCTATAAAGTGCAGTAAACAGAGATTCATGAGGCTTGGTGCTATAAGCTAATATTTCTGAAAGTACTTAAAAGCCTGTGATTTCATAACTGTGGGCAGCACCTTCACTGAGGTAGATTACGACCCTTCCATACCAGCAGTTTTTCATGAGTTGCTATGGCTGAAAAAAAGCCATTACTTAGTGGCTGCTAATATTCAGGAAGGATAGTTAGGCGGTGTAGTGGATAGAATGCTGGGCCTAGAGTCAAGAAGACCTGAGCTCAAATCCAGCCTCAGACACTTCCTAGCTGTGTGACCTTGGGCAAGTCACTTGACCGTATTTGTCCCAGCTCCTCATCTGTAAAATGAGCCGGAGAAGGAAATGGCAAACCACTCCAGTATTTTGGCCAAGAAAACCCCAAATGGGGTCATGAAGAGTCGTACACAACTGAAGTGAATGAACGACATTAGCTTTTAAGGGGGAGCGCCAACATTTGAAACAATGTCAGCTGACTCCAAATTCAGTGACTACCCCTTATGTTGAACTAGGGGTCACGAAGAGCTGGACACAGCTTAAGTGACTCAACAAACATTCAGGAAACAAGCTGTTTAGAACCCAACTTGACAGGTTGTATCAGAAAACAGAAATATAGGTTTTGTTGCTGGGTCTTCTCAAGGTGGTCTTTTCAGCTTGGTAGGATACATGAGAGCTGGTGCTCCACGGGCTTGGAGCTGGGCAGCACACAAAGAGAGGTCACCATGAGAGCAGGCCTTCTGGGGAGCTATGACCCACCACGAAGGCAAAATGAGTCTGCAAACCACTGACACAGTTAAGTCATGGGGTGATGGATGAAGGTCTGGCCTTGCAGACAGACCTGGGGTTCGAATCCCGCCTCTGACACACACTGGCTGTGCGGATCTAGAGAAAATCATTTAACCTCTCAATGATCTAGGCAATTCTCCAAGACTGGAAATTGTAGAGATGGAGCCAACTTGTGTGAATACAGGGGGCTTGCTCAACCTGGGAGCTCTCTATGTTCATTCATTTGATCAATAAGCATTTATTAAAGCACCTACTACGTGCCAGGGATAACGAGACAAAGAAAGGCAAAAGCTAGCGCCTGTCACTGAGGAGCTCTCAGTCTAATGGGAGAATATCAACGAAATTACAAGCCTAGACTCCATCCTTATTATACTATTACACCCCCCCCCCAGAACCTTCCTTAAAAAAGGACAGTTCCATTTCAAACCTTTTGTTCTTCTCTTAGATAACTGGGTTTGAGTAACTTGCCCAGGGTCACACAGCTAGTAAGTGTCTGAGGCCACATTTGAACTCAGGTCTTCCTGACTCCAGGGCTGATGCTCTATCCACTACGCCATCTAGTTGCCCCCTGAACCCTTTTAAAAGTGGGTTTACCTACTTAAAGCATCAGAAGAAAATTATTGTATTAGCTAGTCTCTCACCTTCAACAAAATCCTTCACATGAGCCAGTGGTGTCAAACTCAAATAGAAATGGATCCTTATGGGCTGCATCTTGACTTAGAAAAACCACTAATTACCATTATCTATGTTGTACTGTACTTTTATTTACTCTGATAAATATTTCCACGGGAAGCTGCAGTCCGTGCTGCCATCTTTGGCATGGACTACCTTACAAAGAGCCTTATGACTACATCTGTAATTTCTATTTGTAAGAGAGCACTATTGAATGGTAGGAGACAGCTAGATGGTTCAGTAGATAGAGTGCTGAGCCTGGAGTCAGGAAGACCTGAGTTCAAATCTAGCTTCACACACTTCCTAGCTGTGTGACCCTGGGCAAGTCACTTAACTTCTATTTGCCTTAATCCACTGGAAATGGCAAACCACTGCAGTATCTTTGCCAAGAAAACTGCATGGACAGTATGTTCCATGGGCTCACAAAGAGTCACACACAATTGAACAATAACTACCGAATGGAACACCAGAGTCAGTCCGGCTCTTCCCACCTACTGCCGTTTCTGCTGAATGTCTCGCATTAGCAGATGCCAGACATTTATCACTAAAACCTCGTATGAGTATGATGTATTTATCACTAAAACCTCACAGTGTTCATGTGAGACTTTCTACATACAGCTGATGCAGCAGGCAGAAACTTTCTGCTCTAACAAGTATTAATTCTTGGCCATAAGCTTAAGATAAGCGGAAACTGGCAATGAATAACCATGGGATTATTTGTTATACACTACAAATGTATTCCAGGGAAGTTGTTGTATGTACATCAAAACTCATTTTGATACATATATATGTGATTCCATTAAGTTTGCTATGAAAGCTTTTCTACAACATCATTTCACTGTAATGTGCACAGTCTCCTAGCTTATCTATTTTGTAAATCTAGGTTTTTTTTATTTTTTTAAATAATTTATTTTAGTTTTCAACATTCACTTCCATAAGATTTTGAGTTCTAAATTTTCTCTCTCTTCCTCTCCTCTCCCCTCCCCAAGACGGTGTTTAATCTGATATAGGCTCTAATTATACATTCATATTAAGCATATTTTCACATTAGTCATGATGCAAAGAAGAATTAGAACTAATGGGAGGAACCATGAGAATGAAGAAATAAAACAAAACAATAAAAGAAAAGGAGAGCAAATAGTGTGCTTCCATCTGCATTCAGACTCCATGGTTCTTTTTCTGGACGTGGACAGCATTTTCCACCCTGAATCTTCAATCTAAGTTTTGACAGAAAGAATAATAAAATGGAACCAAGCACTGTGTAATTATAATAAGCAAGCCTGAAGAATGCCCCTCCTTCCTTTCATTGCAGAGGTAGATTACTGGTATGGTACAGGTGGATGTCTTGGTTGGTTTTGCTAAATAAATAGCTCCCTGCCCCAATTTAAAAATCTTTGTTATCTTTGTTTTAAGGGACTGTGGATAGAACTGGGGTGGGGGGGGTGAGAGTGGGAGTTGTGGTGTGAATGTTTAGAAATGAGTAGGATGTATAATCAAAAGGCATCAATAAAAACCTGGATTTTGCTCTATCACTCATGCGTGCTGGTTTATCTGTACTGTAACTCTGATCTACACTACAACTGGCAGCACATTATCGGTTGTTCCTATCAAGGTCAGCTAGGTAGCACAACGGACAAAGTGTCAGGCCTGAAGTCGGGAAAAATCATATTCCCAAGTTCAAATCCGACAGCAGACATTTACTAGCTATGTGACCCTGGGCAAGTCATTGAACTCTGTCTGCCTCAGTTTCCTCATCTGTTAAATAAGCTGGAGAAAGAAATAGCAAATCACTCCAGTGTCCTGGCCTAGAAAAGCCCAAATGAAGTCGAAGTCACAAAGAGTCAGGTATGACTGAAAAATGACTAAACACTCATCAAGTGTCCCCAACTATACTGGTTCCTTCTAAACATCTTTCCCATGTAAAAACATAGTAAGGTGTACACACCACACACACCACACACACACACACACACACACACACACACACACACACACACACACACGAAAATGGGGGAGGGGAAAGGACGGGTTAGACAATAATAGTTTTTGTTTTCTGAATTAATTTACATTGTCAGCTTAGAAATGGCCTTTTTGTACTCTTGGTAAGACAAAAGAGCAAGACTTCAGCAACGATAACCAAGATGATCTAACTCTCAAAGTGGTTTACTTAGGGTTCATTAAGGAAAATAAAGTGAAGTGCTCTACAGCCAACATCAGAAGGCATACAGGCTAGAAAAGAGAATTACCTTGGTAATTTGTCCTTTGCCTGACCACAAAAAGCCCACAAAATCCCAAAGAGCTTCCCCTCCATAAGAACCATCCTTCCTGCACACCATCCCCTACCCACCCTCGACCCACACACTCCTGAGCTAACAAAATCGGAAAAGGAAATAACCGCTGTACCAATATTCCTCCAGACTCCTTGAATCTTTCCGCTGTCCCTCTTCTTCTTCCTCTTCTTCCTCTTCCTCTGCTTCTTGTGACAATTCCTGTTCTACAGCCTGTAACTCAGCTGACGTTCTTTCCAGCAAAGCAGACACAGCGTGCTGACGAGTGGAGAGGAGAATACCACAGCCTGGAATTATCACCACTGATAGCAGTTCACATGAAATACCAAAGTTCATTACATATATCACCTCCTTTGATTTTCTACTCTGGCCCCGGGAGTTACGGGTGACTAGTGGACCCATTCTAAAATTGTTTTAGAGATTTTTTAAAAATTTAATTTAATTTTTTATTTAATAATTAACAATAATTTAATAATTAAATTAATTTTAAAATTTAAATTGTTTTAGAGATTAGGAAAACGAGGCTCAGATAGGTTAGGTGAGTTATGGGTGACTATTGGACCCATTCTAAAATTGTTTTTAGAAATTTTAAAATTTAATTTAATTTTAATTTAATAATCTAATTTTAAAATTTAAATTGTTTTAGAGATTAGGAAAACGAGGCTCAGATAGGTTAGGTGACTTCCCAGGGTCACACAGCTAGGCAGTGTGGGTGGGGCTAAGTTTTTCTGATTCTAAGTCTAGTTCTCTACACATTAATCTACAATGCCTCAACTAGCATAGGAAAATGCTACAGAATTTGGAAATTTTATACAGGATGTCCCAAAAGTCTCAGTATGGTTTTAGGTTTTAATAGCTTATAACTACACTATGGCTTTTGGGATGCCCTGTGTATAGCATGACCAATCTCTAGGATTTCTGAAGGTTTTATTTTCCATGCAGTGACTAACACAATGCTAGGCACACCATGGGCACTCACTAATTATTTGCTGATCAGCTGATTCATTGGCTTAGCAAACTCCTCTTTAATAGACCACACAGCAGAGAACTTGGGTCCAGTCCTCATCCTCACAAATTCCAACTTACGGAAGATATTTTTAATAACATGCCTACAGGGAAACATCTTATGAGACAATTAATATTTTCATGAAAAATTCCACATATCATAAGTACTGTCTCATCATACCGAATTTTCTTACAATTGAATAAAAAATTCAGTCCATTCTCCACACTGCTGCCAAAGTAATTTTCCTTAAGTGCAGATCTGATCACGTCACAGTAGCTTTCTAATGCCTCTACAATCAAACATAAACTCCTCTATTTAGCTTTTAAAGCCCTCTTCACAATCTCCTCACAATCTATCTTTTCAGCCTTATTGAACATTACGATTCTACCTCCCTCAGTTTGTAATCCTACATTGGTCTTTGTAAGACCTAAATCGGTCTTCTCTCTCTTCCTTATGTGCGATATTATATGACCTCCCTCTTAAATTACACTGAATTTACTTGTATTTATTCCCTTTACATTTATTCTGTACATATTTACACAAATCCTTCTTTCGCCAGTAAGAAAGTAAGTTTTTTGTGATGACATTTTATTATATATTTATCTATTTTTGTACTATTATCCTTAGTACCTATTTGTATTATATTTTTTTTGTATTTATTACATTTTTATCCTTAGTACCTACTATACTGCCTGGCACATAGTTGGTGTTTAATAATAATTTCTGAACTTTTGGGAAAATAACTAGTAGTTTTAAGCTCCTTGGGAGCTGTAAAAACATTTTCTAATCTAAAACCTGGTAGTGCAATCCAACACATAAAATTAACATCTAAAAGTACAAATTAATAACAGTGACTAGTGTTTGTATAACATTTTAAGGTTTGCAAAGCACTTCATAAAAATATCAATGGCACTGGGAGGTAGTTACCATTATTCCTACCGGCAAAGAAACTGAGGCAGACACAGGTTAAATGACTTGCACACAGACAGTAATTAATTTGGCCTTAGACAAATTAATTGCATGACCAACACCTACACAGATTTAAGCCTTTCTCTTTGCTCAGTTCAGGTCTGTGTTTTCTGGATAGAATGAAGAGAGGTTAAGTAGTTAACCTGCCCTGCCTTTAGGCAAATTAAGTCAAAACACAGTACATGGGCATTTAAAAAGCATGAATTATGCAGCAGAATTTGATTTGATGGTCAGATATCAGGCAGAAAAAACAGATCTCCTTTTATACAAACTACTTGATATAATGCTGGAAAAATGGCCTCTTTGCTTCTTTAGGGAAAAAAGATGTGGAGACTGGGAAGGGAAGAAAGCATTTGATGGAAAATATCCTTTTACAGCTGAATTACATTTTATTGAATTTTAATGACACATTCCAACTTTTGCTCACCAGGTCTAAGGGGCCCAGTGAAGGCTGACTCTGATGAAACCCAACTTCTTCACCGTCTTCTTCATTTTTTCCGTATGAAATTTGCTTGCAAGGTAGCAAGTTATACCACAGAGTGAAAAAATCATCTGCAATGGGAAAATCTGCTAGGCTGATTTGAGTTCCGGCCTATGAAAAATGAGAAAAGGAAAAAAAAAAACAAGAAAGGAAAGAAGGCTTTTAAAATTAGTCTTGGCCTTTCCCCATTCCACAACCCAGCCCCCTACTAGCAATAGTAGTTTTGTGTTTGCTTTGGATTAAAATATGTCTACCTGTGTAGCTTGCTTTTGTGTGTTCTATATACACACTGGCATTTTGTTTTCAGGGCTATTTAAATATTAAATGTTAAAACTAGACCTGGGATCATTTTGTGAGGTACTATTTTGCCCACCCACAAAACTCAATTTAGTTACGATGAACACAAATGAAAATATTTTTACAATGTGCCAGACAAATAAAGTTGCAAACTATACCTGACAAAATACCTGGTTCTTCAACAAGAACAATTGAATGGGTGAGAAACTGGGTTTGCTTCCAGAGCTATTTTAGAGTTATCAGGGGGAAAAAAAATTAAAGTCTTTTGTATTACATTGATCATAAAAGAGTTTACTAACTAGAATCTAAGTGAAATGGGCCAATTAATTTTTTTTAATTCATTTATAATGTTTGCACAGATCATAATTAGCAAAATTATATTGGCAGGCAGCCATGGTGTAACGGAGCCCGGAGACCTGAATTCAAATCCTGCTTCTGACATATATGGGCTGTGTGACCCTGTATGACCATTGAACCTCTCATTGCTCTAGGCACCATCTAAGATGCTAACTTGCAGAGAAGATGTTGACCAGCATTGGGATTTCTTCATCTAGGAATCCCTGACATTAATGAATTACAAGTTCACGTCCTAACCCTATCCTATGCTATGCTTTAGATTGGTTTTGGTTACCTAGATTTTAATCTGCACAATTCCATTTTTGGGAGGAAATCTAAAAATAATTTCTTCCTATTTTTGGTGGTTGTTACTCTGGTTACTGCTCTTAAAAATCATGTCTCATTTTAAGAAATCAGCCTTTTGGGACTTTTGGTTATTGTGCATACAAATCAATACATGTAGCTAGCGGGCATATATACCTACGTACTAACTTTCTAAAATGACATTCACTGAGATGGATATGGGCAAGCTCTGAGAACCACTAAAGGAAGGGTTCTTAACTGGGGGTCCATGGATACCCAAAAGATCTGTGGGCAAATTTAAGGGGACCCAAGGAATATGGAGGGAAAATTACATCTTTATTTTCACTAACCTTTGGTTTCCTTTGTAATCCTACGTATTTTGTTGCATGCATTTATAAATATTATTCTGATTAAGAGGCCCGAAGCCCTCAGCAGATGCCAAAGCGGTCCATGAAACAAAAAAGGTTAAGAAGGCCTGGTTTGATATTACTGAGAAATGAAGCTGCTTGCAATTTCTAATATTTAGGATCTTGTTTTACATACCCTTTTGACACTTCACTATGAGTGAGAGTTTCTTGTAGAGATACACACAATTTTCATGTATCTACAAGAAACAGATAAAATTCCTTCTACAGTCAAAGGGTAGAATCAAAAAATAGTTTCCATGGAAACCAGAGCGCTCCTAACCATTGTATGGAGTTAATACTAAAGTCTAGGCATCTGCTCTAGGGTCAGAGGAACTATGACTTGGAGGAGAATGGAAAGGTGCTCTAAGGACCGTCCTGAGGTCCTGGCTGAAGGTTTCTGGGGGGCCTGGTGAGCAGCAGAAGTGCAACTATGCAACATTCCAGGAAGGGGCAAGAAGAAATGTTATTTGATGGTGGTGATGGTGATGATGATGATAATGCTGACGAAACGCATACCAGGCATTCATCCCGCCGGTCTTTGCTGACAGAACAAACATCCACCCTTAATGTCTTCTGCTGCAATGCTGCCGGGGAAATGGCCACTCTGAATATTTCATTAAACAAAATGAATTCTTCAGCAGGATGGACTTTTGTGCGAAAGAGACAACTGATGTCGGCCGAGGGGGGGAGTACTGTAATCCTAAAATACCTTCAAAGAACAAAACCACAGTTTGAGAAGGTGCTCAAGCCTCTTTGAATTTACTACTAGCATTTAAAATTTATCTCTGAAACAGTGAAAAACACAGAAGAAACTTAAGAATTATGGATCAACATTGGGGGGGTGGGTTTGGGAAGGGAAGGGATGCTTTGCTGTTGTAACCGACTCATGCTCAGCTTCGGAGGTCCTATGCTCAGTAACATCCATGCTGGCTACCCCAGTGAAAGACTGCACAATTACAATCAGCCATCTACCATTTCGGGAAGTCGACCACAATAAAATGCATGCCAGGGGACTGAAGAGGCAGAAATTCAGTGGGGCAGATACATTTAACTTCCCACCCGTCCCACGCACAGCCAATTTCCAAATAGTTATTTCTGTGCCTTGGGAAGGTTAGTGACAGATGAAGTAGGTGGTGTTGACTGTATCCAAATGAATCCTCACCCCGAGCGCTTAATGAGAGATGTGGAAGATCATGTTCCAGAGAACAGATTACGTTATCCTACTGGGCTAAAAAAGGGCTAAAAAAGCCAAAAGATCATTTGGAAGCAGGTGGTTAGAAAATCTAAACAAGAGTTAGACACGTAAAAACATCGTAGCTGGGCATCTCGAAAGTATATAAATAGAACAAACTATCAAGGTGGTGGTTTTTACAGCTTGTAACTTGTAGAGAATGAAAACATGATCAACTGGCAATATTAATCTGCGGTTTCAAGTTGAACCCCCAAAACATGAACCTACACTGAGCAAGGAGAAAGGCTTGAACCTATGAAGAGAGAATGCGATTCTTAAAAGAGTATGAGATGAGGCAGCACAAGAGGGTCTACACCAGTACTGTCAAACTGAAAAAGAAATAAGTCCTTCTTAGGAGCATATTGACTTAGAAAACCACAAATTAAACTTATCTATGTATTTCTGGAAGCAGCTCGGTGGATCAGTGGATAGAGCACTGGCCTGGAGTCAGAAGACCTGAGTTCAAATCTGGCCTCTGATACTCACTAACTGTGTGGCCCTGGGCAAGTCACTTAACCTGTTTGCCTTCATCCACTGGAGAAGGAAATGGTAAACCACTCCAGTATCTTTGCCAAGAAAACCCCATACAGGGTCATGAAGAGTTGGACATGATTGAACAAAAACAACAAAACTGTATTTTTATTTTACCGTGGTCCAGGCCAGACTTGGATGTTTTGCTGGCCTGCCTGAGTTTGACACCTCTGGCCTACACCATGTGTCCTTTCTCCTTGGGGAACTGGTTTCCAAATCATCAAAAAAGGTGGAAAGGGTCAGGAAGAAAACTGCTAAAAATACCAGATACCCATTGGCTCACCGTATCTCACTTACTGGTCAAAAGGTGATTTTTAAAAAAAATTTTCATTAATTTATTTGGATTTATCAACATTCACTTCCATAAGCTTTTGAGTTTAAAATTTTTCTCCCCCTCCCTCCCTAAGATGGCATGCAATCTGATATAGGCTCTACATACACATTTCTATTAAACATCTTTTCACGTTAGTCATATTGTTTATTTTATTTTTAATTTTTATTTATTTACTTATATTTTTAGGCAATTGGGGTTAAGAGACTTGCCCAGGGTCACACAGCTAGTAAGTATTATGTGTCTGAGGCTGGATTTGAACTCAGGTCCCTCCTGACATCAGGGCCAGTGCTCTATCCGCTGCGCCACCTAGCTGCCCCCACATTAGTCATGTTGTAAGGAAGAATTAGAACCAATAGGAGGAACCACAAGAAAGAGAAAACAAAATAAAACAGAAGGAAAAAAAAAAGCAAATAGTATGCTTCCACCTGTGTTCAAATTCCATAGTTCTTTCTTTGGATGTAGATAGTATTAACAGGTGATTTTCTCTGTGAGATCTGCAAATTCAATCTCAGAACTTGAAAATCAACTTCTATTATTCCTGCCTTTTATATCAACATCAATAATAACATTTTTGCAGCTGAAACTCAGTAGGCATCATCCCTGGCATGAGAACCTACTGTGGGCCACAATCTATTTCCTGGGGGAATAAAGTTTTAGCAGTTCCTAATTTAAGAAATATTTTTCCTTTACTAAGAAATGAAAAGAAAGTGGTAGAAGGAGTTTGAACTGCAAATGGGAAGTTCTTTATTTCTTGTACTTGTTTTGACATGATGGGTCTAACTTACCCTTAAGAGGCTACAAGATAAAAATAGCAAATTGAATGCAACACGATTTAAATAGCTATGTGCCAAAGCTTCGAATAAAATAAGGCAGCAGGGACCAAGATGACTTTCACCTTTCCCCACCTTTTCAGCAATTAAGGGTCTTCCCAAGACCTGGGAGCACTTTTTTTTAAAAAAAATTTTTTTAAATTTTTAGGCAATTGGGGTTAAGTGACTTGCCCAGGGTCACACAGCTATTGGGTGCACTTTTATTAGAACTATTGGGCATCAGACAGGAAGGAAAGAGGGTATTTCCTGCTGACTGAAGGGTGTGAGCTGCTTATTTTATTCAATCCTTTTTTTTATCTCTTTAATTTCAATGGGGGGAAAAATGCTATTTTAAGAGATGTCTCTTACTAACCTGTATTTCTAAGGGATAACACTATATGTCATATTATTTCTTGTGGCTATTTTGACATTGCTTTTTAAACGGGTACGAGATAATGATACTCTACAGCACAGGAAAGTTCTGGGGACTAACTAGAATGGGATTATAAATCATTTTGGAGAAAAGAGAAAAAAAAATTTTATACATGCATATACACAGCCATGAAAAAAATGTAATTCTGGCCTTGTATTATTCATACTATCACCATGGACAGCATCTACACAGTATCTCAAGAACAAATATCATAAAAGGACAATATCCTTACAAACAGTTAAAATACATTTTATCGCCACCTCTTGCTCTTCCCATCAGAGTCATTTTCTGATACACTACCCCCACTGAACCCTCTCTTTTACAAAGAAAAAGCTAAGCAAAACTAACCAGACAAGTGATTGTACTTGACAGCATATATAACACGCTGTCCTTATGGTCTCCTGTCCTTTGCTGAGAGGAGGGAAGTGTATCTCGTAGGCATATAAGATCATTGCATCATAGATTTAGAGCAAGAAGAGGCCTTAGAAGCAATCAAATCCACCCCACTTCCATTTTGTAGATAAGGAAACTGAGGCCCAAAGAGGTTAAGCGACATACTCAGGGTCATAATTAGTAACTGTTTGCGGTGAGATTTGAACCCAGATCATCCTCTATTCTCAAGGACTAAGAGGGCTTATTCGCAATGAATCTACCTTTTTGTGCTATGAACTCCTTGCTGTTGAAAAAGATGGCGGCTGGTTTGGTATTAATAATGGTGGAAACAGAAGAGTTTGAATTTATATTATTTTTTTTAAGGGCCTACTTTCTTATCTCTGTAGGGCTAGCTAAACAATGATGCAGCCTCATTCTTTTATTGTTATTTTCTATCAGGTCTTCCAGTTGGTTGTCATTTTTTACCAGCTTAATTCTCTCTAGTCCAGTTTTCCTCTTCGATATTCTACTAAAACCATTCACAAAAGGTCCCTGATGACCTCTTTGACTGCATGTATCATGGAGGTCAAAGCCACAGGCTTTTATGTAACCAATCTTACTTCACATTTCTATTAGCTTTAGGGCTATTGCCCATCCCCTACTTCCTTAAAAGCCCCTCTAATCTAACCTTCTTGCTCTGAGATCATCTTTCTTCTTCTCATTTTTTGATTAAAAAAAAATTGCCCTCAACAGTGAGAGTCCCCATTCAAGGCTTTATCTTACTTAGGTCTTATGCTCTTATTCTTTTAAGAGGAAAATCAGAATTTATTCCTGAGACTTACTTGCTTCCTCTGGCATTTTTAAATATCAGCACATCAGTACCTCCCTATGTAATTCTGGCCTTGTATTATTCATTGTATCACCATGGACAGCATCTACACATTATCTCAAGAACAAATATTATAAAAGGACAATATTCTTACAAATAGTTAAAATACATTTTATCGCCACCTCTTGCTTTTCCCATCAGAGTCATTTTCTGATACACTACCCCCGCTGAACCCTCTCTTTTACAAAGAAAGAGTTAAGCAAAACTAACCAGACAAGTGATTGTACTCCTACAAAAGAAAAATTATCCCATTTTTCTCTCTCCTAAATCCAGTTTTCATCTCTGATCAACCCTTAGGACATTTTGCCACTATCTCAAGTTCTAGACCTGATGCTGAAAGAACCCCACATTTTATTCTCAAGATTTCCTTCTGCTGAACATCCTATCCACCCCCTAGTTCGTCTTCCAATCGCTGTCAAAGTGATCTTCCTAAAACATAAATCTGACCGTATCATTCCCCCTAGGCAGCTAGGTGGCACAGTGGATAGAGTGCTGGGAGTCAGGAAGACCCGAGTTCAGATCTAACCTTAGGCACTTTTTAACTGTGTGACCACTGTGTGCCTCAGTTTCCCCAACTTGCAGAGTTGTTTGTGAGGATCAAATGAGATATTTGTAAAGTGCTTAGCACAGTGTCTGACACATAGTAGGTACCACACAGATGCTTATTTCCTTCTTCTTTCCCTTCCCTATTCAATAAACGCTGGTAGCTCTCTACTATTTCCAGGAACAAATAGAATATTCTCTGTGATATTTAAGGTACTTTACAACCTGGCCCCTCCCAAACTTTCTAATCTTCTTTCTCCTTATTCCCACATACACTTCAATCTGTTGACAATGCTGATGCTCTTCCTCCTGTGAGACCCGCCATTCCTAACTTCAGGCATTTTCTCTGGCTATTCTCCATTCCAGGAATGTTCTTTCTCCTCATCTTTATCTTCTGGCTTCCTTCAAATCCCAGTTAAAAGCCCACCTTTTTCAGGAAGCTGATCCTGATTCGTCTGAATAATAATTGTACCTGCCCTCTGTTAGGCAGCTTGGTAGCACCATAGTACACAGAGTACCAGGTCTGGAGTCAGGAAGATTCTTGTTCCTGAGTTCAAATCTAGCCTC